TAATTTTCCTTGAAGAGAAAAGAGAGGGCTTGATTTCTACCTATTTTGTGAAGTGCAATATGTGCAATGCAACATTCAACCTCCACACGTCCGAAAGCAACATCAACAGGGATGCTGTGTTAGCAATGATGAACATTGGTTCGGGTTTTACGCATCTTGAACAGATAACGGCAACCCTTGATATGCCCTGTATGTCAACCAGAATGTATGACAAGTTGCACGATGAGATATGTGAAGCTTGGGAGCAGACAAGCGTAGAAACGATGAAAAATGCAGCAGATGAAGAAAAGGCGCTCGCAGTGACTGATGGACAAGTGGATGCAAATGGGGTTCCGCTAATAACTGTGGTAGCTGATGGAAGTTGGGCAAAAAGATCCTACCATTCTAATTACAGCTCCTTGTCTGGTGCCGCTGCCATAATCGGCTACAAAACGAAAAAGGTCCTTTTTCTAGGAGTAAGAAATAAGTATTGCACCATTTGCAAGATAGCCGAGAGGGCCAATATGTCTCTAACTAAGCCACACAAATGTTTTAAAAATTGGACTGGTTCATCAAGCAGTATGGAGGCCGACATAATTGCGGAAGGCTTTTCTAAGAGCTTGGAGATGTATGGCCTAATATATGACAAGTTGATTGCTGATGGTGATAGTAACTGCTACAAACGAGTTCTCGACGCTCATCCGTATGAAGATGTCATAGTAGAAAAAATTGAATGTAAAAATCATCTGCTGAGGAATTACTCGAGGAAAATCCGAGATCTAATCAAGGATACTTCAGCAGGACCTCTTGTTTTGCGTAAGCAGATTCAGGTGTGTGGAGCCGACACAGATGTGCTTTTTCATTTTAATTTTATTCATCCTCATAGATGTACGAAATGTATTTCTGAATTTAAAAAACAACATTAATTTGGAGAAGATAGTACTTTAGCTGTTTCATGAAATATACTAAATAATATTATTTTTAGCAAAATCAATTAAAACTACGATGGGCAATCAGTAAAGCCGTGTCCTATCGGAAAAGTGAAAATATAGAATTTACTCAAAAAGTAGAGGGCTTAAAAAAGGATATACAAAACTCCATTAGCCATATATTTGGTGAGCATAAGGACTGCCAAAACATACGTTACTTTTGCAATAAGCCATATGTTGCACATGGAACCACGATGAGTGATCTGAAAATGACAGGTAGGGTTGTGTTATAAATGGGAAATATATTGACACAGTACTTTCCATGCATCAATATGATAATTACGCGAAAGATACAGCGTTGGCCTATTGGATGCATGTTTAATAGCAACTTTGTTTTATTCCATATTTTTTTTAGATTTGCACCAGAGGCTGATATCATTTCTGGCAATTCTGATTAAAAATGCAGTAAGTTTACTTCATGATGTCGATAATAATATTGTAGAGCAGTTTAACTCAATCATAGCTAAATTCATTGGGGGTAAACGGATTAATTATTGCAAGAAGAGATCCTACCAAGGAAGATGTGCTGCAGCCGTAGTGAGCCACAATACACAGCGGCCTGTTTGTGTGATCCAAAAGCGGCTACTCCCTAGTTTCAGTCCAACCTCTTTGATTGCTAAAGTTGAAGAAAAGAGAGCGCACAAAAATCTGAAAAGGAACCTGAAACCAAGGAAAATTAAAATCAGAGATAGTGATACTAAAGAGAACGCATCCTATGGGGAATTCTGTGAGAAGCCTGACATGAGCAACGAAGATATAGAGGCTGCCAAGGTGGAATTCTTGAAAAAACTTGTAAAAACCGACTCCGAAATTTCCCAGATCGAGCAAGCCACAAAATCTCAGGATTGCAATTTGTGGCGTCTTCATCGAAGAATGAGGTTGACTGCGTCTCGGTTTGGTGAGGTTTGTAGAAGAAGAGATACAACAAGTTGCAGAGCTCTAGTAAACGCCATAATATACCCAACCGAATTCTTTAGCAAGGCATGTGACTATGGAAAAAAGCATGAAAGCGTGGCAAAAGCAGAAATAGAGAAGTCATATTCGCAATCAGAAGTACAATCTTGCGGGTTGTTTATTGATAGGACCCATCCATTTCTGGCAGCATCGCCAGATGGTTTGATAGGCGAAAAAGGTCTGCTAGAAATTAAATGTCCATGGTCGGTTAGAGAAATGACCCCTGAAGAGGGGATTCTGAACAAAAAAATTACGTTTTGGATAAACGATGAAATAAATAAAAAACATAAGTGGTATTACCAAATTCAAGGGCAGCTACACGTTGCACAAAGAGAGTACTGTGTGCTTGGTGTTTGGACCCCGTATGGTTTGAAAATAGACGTCATTCAAAGGGATGACGTTTTCTGGAAAAATGAAATGGAAGAGAAATTGAAATTTTTCTACATGAACTGCTTGCTCCCAGAACTGGTCGATCCCAGGAAAAGCAGAAATATGCCAATCCGCGATCCCGATGCGATCTTGAAGGCACAAGAGAACCGTTTGAACAAGAAAAAGAGTTCTTGAGAATTGGCTATTTTTGCTGTACTCGGGTACCAAAATGGAAGAGATTAGCATATTACATTGTACGCCGTTACTAACCCCTTCGTGTCGGCAAATGCGGTGTGCAGATCTCGCATTAGCAGCGATGTGCGAGATGTTATGCTAATTTCTTCCATTTTGGTACTAGTACCAGACCTTCACTATTTATTGTATATTATGTATATATTGTTTATTTAAGTAAAAGTCAATCGTCAGGCTCAATAGCACGTAGCATCGGCTAGCTTTATCGAGTATGTTAGATCGAGAATATTGAAATGTCACATTGACACGTTAAGCGCCACAGTAGAATCTGAAAATCCAGTCCACTGGGAAAAACTGTTATTATTGTCAAATTAGCTTGTTTTAAGTTTCGGTTTAATATTTTGACTTGACTTTTTTCTCAAATCCTATGATTTTTCCCCTTTTTGATTTTTTTTCTGAGGTACTAGTTGTATGTCGCGTGGCCCACAGACCAGTCGGGTCGCGTGGCACATAAGTCGCGTCGCGTTTTTTGCAAGTCAAGACTTGCATCATGTCGCGCGTTGAGCACTATTTCGTGTCATTTATTATTGATGCGTTGTTCTTATTGTACGTCATCTTGTCCAAATTGCTTTACTGTTTATAAACTATTGAATACCAAATTTAGTGATGTCGCATTACGAAGCGGAGCAAAAAAGGCTTGAACAATTGTGGAATGAAATACTATCGGATGAAGAGAGTGGCAGTAGTGAGTTATGTGGGGATGTATACTTATCTGATGCGTATTCTGCAAGTGGTAGCGAATCAGATAGTAGTTGTAGTAATTCTTCCATACTTATCTGTATTACTGTTTATTTATACCGTTATTTTGTTTATTCCTGCATAAGACTTTATCAATCTGTTTAGTTTATAAGAGTTCCTCAATATTTGTGTTCGTTAGAATATCGACATTTACTATAACTTACTGATTTGCTGTGAAATTACTTTGTTCATTTTTTAATGAGAATGTCTGATTATTTTATAAGATTTGCTTTTTGTTTTAGATTTGTAGAATATCCTCTTTTTGTAAAACTCTATAAGCAACGTGTTTTTTAATGTTGTCATTTCCAATTGAGTATAATTTGGTCCCTCAGGCCACGGACTCTTGGTTCCCGTAAGAAAATCACATCAGCATGGCACACGTCTTACGTTACGTGGCCAAATATAACTGCCAGCAGTGAGACATATCATGTGTGTCACGAGGTCCAAAGTGCCAAATGAGGTGCGACACACGCATTATATCTCATGATGCTTATCGTGTTAAGTTTATTTTACGATACTCCATAAGGTTAAAGCTAAACAGCAAGTGACATTTTATTTGTGGTAAATGCGTTCACTATAATTATTATTTTTAACTAAAAAGATTACCGCCTCCAATGACCCTGGAACCACCTGGAAGCTTTTGGTCGCAAACTTCTGTATTTTACCACACATGTCTTTTCATTTGATATGTAAATTGGGGGTTTTGTACAAACATATTATGTAACTCGCAATTTCGAAACGGCGGCAATCTTGGAATAAAATTTTTAGTGAAGTACTGTATTCTACAAGGCGACGACTCTTATTTGAGATATTAGCAAGTATGTTATCCGCCATTTTGTGACGGCCGCCATCTTGATCTGAAACTGTTTTCGTATTACTGTTTTGTAGAAGTGCTTCCATTTGATATCCATATTGGGGTGATTGAACAAAAATGGTTTTTTGTGGGATCACCTCTGAAGCATGGGCTATTGTATAAAAAGAAATTATCAAAATCGATTAAAAATTTCCCCTCTTTCATTGAAGTCTATTAAAAATGTCACTTACTGGTCCGATGTTTATCTCGAACGACCGACGTCAAAACTGCTACTGTTTAACTTGGGACAAAAAATTATCTGAATACGTCTTTTCTTAGTCCGTACACACCGCCGCGTTGCTTCGACTGGCAGCACGAGATAGTGGATAAAATTCGTGTAAAAGCCTATTTGCAGAGGTTTTCGCGCTTCAAAATTCAGGCTTCATTTTTGAATATTTTTGAATGAAATTTTCACAGTGCACTAAAAACAAGACTCCACAGGGTGCTATAGAGCCACTTTTTCGTTTTTTCCTCTGAGTTATTTTTAAAAAAATCGAGAAGTTGAACAAAAATTATCTGCACTTCCACCCACCATAACTCTTGAACAATTTTTTTTTTTAGAAAAGTGGCTCTATAGCACCCTGCACAGTTGTCTTCTGAACATACTGTATAAATTTTATTCAAATATATAGAAAAATGGAGCGTCAATTCCGAAGCAGCTAAACCCTTGTAAATGGCCTGAAACTCACTGCGTCGGAGCCGCCTTAAGAAAGCAGCTTATGAATTAGTAATATATTGAAGTTACTGAACTAACATGTACCTTATTTGTCAGTGATGACAACATTGAGATCTTAAAATAAAAAACAACATAAACTATAAAATAAAATAAAAAAGAATAGTAAGCGCAACAAAGAACAAAGAAAATCCTATTCAGAGAGGCAATTATGGCACACGTAGAACAAGTCGCCTTTTGTACAGGCCAAATGAGCCCATGACTTGCATTCTATACACTGAATCCATTCTTCCTTTGGGACACTTTGGGAAAACGGCTCCATACAAACTACGCAGAAGCAGTCATCATCGTCACTGTCACTACTTTCTTTCTCACTTATTTTTTCTTTATTCTTACAATTCCTCCTTGTTTTGCTAAAGGATTTCTTCGTTTTATTTTCTAGGTTTAACGCAGGTCTTTTTACTTTTTTGGTGTTTCTCCTAGCTTCAATGGCTTCTAGCTCATTTTTTACAGGAGTGTCAGTTAATATAGCTGACTTTATCTTTCTCCTTTTTTGCGTATTCTTCCTAGCCTCTGCCTTCGGTAGAGGTCTTATTGCTTCCGGAGAAAATACACTGACTGCAGTAGTTACAGTAGATGTATTTGAAGTTGAAGAAACCTCACTAATGGCTGCCGACGTAATAGATACCTTCGAAGTTGATGGCACAGGATAAAGTGAATCAGGGGTAGGAGCATCGTCTTGATTTGAAGACAAAATTGTGGGAGTGCATGATACTTCTGCGTTTGCATTAGTATTAGAAACAGTGGGATTATAATAGAGTGAATCATTGATCGGTGGACTTGGAGTTCGTTCGGCTTCTCTGCTGGTTCTTGGAACTTCAGGATCATCAGTTTGAACAACGGAATCTTCGTGTACAAGTACTGTTGGTGGCAGTGCTCGATCGGTCACCTGACTGGGCAAAAACTCCTCTTCACGAAATATTTCAGTGTTCAATGGCCATATCCCGGTCGTCCGGAATCCTGCAGTTACATTTTTTATGGTGACTGCTATATCAAAGGCAGTTTTGACAATTCCTGGAATGTCATATATTGTCATTACTTTTCCTGGGTGTGAACGCATCCAGTTATCGCATGTTGTATTGATTGCTTTTTTTACAGGGCCAAAGATAGCTCGGTCCATAGGCTGAAGTTTGTGCGTGCAATGTGGTGGAAACGTCAACAGTACGATTCCATTTTCCTTGCAAAAGTTGATGTTTTTGACAGCGGTATGCGAAGCATGATATCTAGTAATAACAAAACCGGATTTTCTTTGGAAGATCGGACGTGATTCTTGAAGTGCTCTATAAAGCAATAAAAATCATCTTCTTGCATCCATCCAGAACCATTGGCTGTTCCAATGGACCCACTTGGACCATCACAAATAAAGTGGTCGTTAAAACGCTTACGGGGAAATATGAACATTGGTGGAATGCAATTACCTATAGCATCTCCAGCTAATGCTAGAGTGACTAAACTACCTCTTTCTGCAGACGTCATGGCGCTGACTTGCTTTTGACCTCGTCGTGCAATAACACGATCAGGCTTTTGGACAGTAGTTATGACTGTTTCATCAACATTCCAGATGTCTTTTGCTTCCATATGATATTTGTCAAGTATCGAACAATAATTTTTAAAAATAGTTCCACGTTGGTTCTATTGAAACTGGTCGCTCGAGCAATACTTGTCGCTTGTGGAAGTCTCAAAGACAAAACTTCGTGGCGTTTCATGAACAATCTGAGCCAAACGTCACCAGCCATTTTGGTTTGCATCCAAGAAGAAGGGCACTTTTCGTCATATGCCACAGCAAGCTTATACGCAAGTTTTCTTGCTTCTTTTGTACTCAACCCAAAATTGGCATCAGAGCAGGTCAAAACGTATTCACACAAGGATTTTTCTTCCTCTTTGGTAAACACTGTGGGGCGATGATATCCAATTGAGGGTGGTTGGATGGCCTTATTGCTCTGATACGCTTGTTTTTTCTTAATGTATCTGTAAAGCGACGTATGGTTTATATCATAACTTGTGGCAGCATCACGAAGAGATTTATTGCGTAGCATCACTTCTTCGGAAGCCAGTTCGTAAATTTCTTTGCTTGCCATACCCCGATTCGTCTTTCGCTTGTATTCGTTCGGCATCCTAAAACAAAAGAGCATAAGACAGACTTCAGGCATACTGATAAAATTCAAAAACGTATATAAAAAGTCAATTGCAAAATTGAACGCAAACGAGGTAAGTTGAAACAGGCTGTTTCAACTCTCCTGGAGTACAAAAATCTGCCGCCATTATGGTTGAGCCGGTGTTACCCTCGTTGTGCAATACAGTGTTACAAAAACATTGCTACAGACTGAATCTTGAATGATTAAGCTTTCAGAAAACATACAACACATTGTAATAAAACAGTATATAAATCAAATATTGATAAAGTTAAAATATGACAAAGACTTACTTTTGTTAAATTTTTCACATCACATTTGATAACGATGTAAGCGTGGACTGGAGAGCGGTAACGAAACCTTCACTTGTGTGCAGGTGGCAGCAGAGGCAAATAAGCGCTGTTGCCAGCTCCATAACGTCTTTGGTTTCCACAAAAATTCTGTTGTTTCAACTTACCTATGATTCAACCCTCCTCGGTCTCCCCTACAGGCCGACTAGTCAAATAGCAGCGCTATTTTCTATGGTTTTGCTTGTTTTTGTTGCCGGCTACAGATGGTAAGCAAGTGAGGCGCCCGTTACAAGGTGCAGTGTCATGAGTGTGCAAAAATTCCCAATCAAAGGTGTATCAAGAATGATCATGACCCCC